AGCTCTGTTTTCTCTCTACTGCCTGTTTCTTCCTTGCCTCGCTTCTCGTTAGTGGACCGATTGTTTCCTTGACTTTTTTTCTTGTTTTTTATATGTTGAAACTTTTTTAAAAATAATTTCTGACATTTATTGCAAGTCTTACTTCATTCTGAACTTTAGCTATGTGTTCCTCTTTCCATTTTTTGTATTTATCCTTTTTGTCTTTCAGTTTATCAGAGTTCTTTTTATAACCACGCTGGTTTCTTCTTGGATTTCTTGTTATTCTTTTTCAGCGGTATTGAATTGGACTGGCTTTTATATTAATATTTTTCAGTTTTCCAAGCTTCTTGAGTTGTTTTCCCCTTTAAGATTTTCATCCATGGAATCCTTCCCAAGCTCTATTTAAGTGTCAGCCCTGGAGGCCATCTTTTTCTTTGGATCTTCAGGGCTGCCACACTTAGTGCTGTGGGAAACTGGGAGGGGGGATGGTATGGAGTTGTAGAGGTATCTAGTCATAATAACATTTTTTTCTCTGGGAGTCAAGGACATTCTGCCTGCACCTGGAGTGGCGTGACTGGAAGGCATCTCCAGTTGGGACAGTGCATTGATTGCACCATGTGATGGACATGTGGGTGCAGGGGAAGGAACTTAGACTTTCTTTTGGGTAGGGAAAACCTGGAAGCTTTCAAATATGGGGCAGATATGGCAGGAGCAGGGGACCATATCATGTGCTGGGGGCTCGCACTTGCTGTCTGAGAGCAATTGCTTGCCCCGGTCCCCAAGGCTCCGCTTGGATACTAGGTGGCTTAGATACTCAGGATCTGGGCCTTCGGTTGATGCTATGCAACGCCAGGTCCGTGGTAAACAAGGCCCCCCTCATTCACGATCTTATACAAGAGGGAGGAGCGGACCTGGCGGGTATTACGGAGACCTGGTTGGGCCCGGAGGGCGGTGTCCCTCTGGTTGAAATGTGCCCACCAGGCTTCAGAGCATTCCATCAGCCGAGGGCCCAGGGGAGGGGCGGGGGGGTGGCGGTTATTATTAATGATGATCTGGGTCTGAGGGAGACAACTGTGCCTCAGATAGCCGGATGTGAGTCCCTCCTTGTGAGGTGGGGGCGTGGGGTTCAGATGGGCTTCTTGCTTACGTACCTGGCTCCCTGCCGCGTGGCAACAGCCCTACCTGAGCTACTCGACGTGATAGCCACGGTGGCAGTAGACACACCCAGGCTTTTAGTCATGGGTGATTTCAACTTGCCATCCGTTGGTGAAACGTCTGAGGTGGCTCGGGAGTTCATGGCTTCCATGACGGCCATGGACCTGACCCAGTTAGTTCATGGCCCTACTCACAGGGGAGGTCACACTCTGGACTTGATTTTTGTCTCTGGCCAGTGGTTGAGTGGTCTTGTTATAGGGGATATAGACATGGAACCCTTGTCATGGACTGACCACTCACTCCTTCGCCTGGATCTTCGAACCGCTACCCCTCGCCTCAGGGAGGCGGATCCAATTAGATGGATCCGCCCCAGGCGCCTGATGGATCCTGATAGGTTCCAGACGGAGCTTGGGCCATTTCCTGAGGATCTAGCACATGACTCGGCCGAGGACCTGGTAGCCGCCTGGGATCGGGCGGCTGGTGGGGCCTTGGACCGAGTTGTGCCTTTGCGGCCTCTGACCCGATGCCGATCCCGTGCGGCTCCTTGGTTTACTGAGGAGCTGAGGGAAATGAAGCGCCGGAAAAGACGCCTGGAGAGCGGTTGGAGGGCCAGTCTCGCTGAATCTGATCGAACACTGGTAAGGTCGCATATTAAGACATACCTAGTGGCGATAGAGACGGCAAAGTCTAACTACTTTTCCGCCTCTATTGCGTCATCAGGGAATCGTCCGGCCGCCCTGTTTAGGGTGACCCGCGCCCTGCTCCATCCGGGAGTGCGGGAGGATCCCTTAGAAGGCAGGGCGGAGGATTTCGGACAATACCTGTATGACAAAATCGCCCAGATCCGGGGGGATTTGGACTCTGACTGGGTAGATCAGGGCAGGGTGACGAGGAATAGTCTTGAGAATGTTATCTGGGAGGAGTTTGATGCTGTGACTCCTGATGATGTGGACAGGATTTTGGGGAGACTTAGTGCGGCCACATGTTTACTGGACCCGTGTCCCTCCTGGTTGGTACTGGCTTCCCGGGAGGTTACACGAGGCTGGCTCCAGGGTGTTATCAACGCTTCGTTGAGTGAGGGTTACTTCCCCACCGCCTTGAAAGAGGCGGTGGTGAGGCCTCTCCTCAAGAAGCCGTCCCTGGATCCGGCAATATTGGCCAACTATCGTCCTGTCTCCAACCTTCGCTTTATGGCGAAGGTTGTTGAGAGTGTGGTCGCACGACAGTTTCCGCAATTCCTGGAGGAAACATCTTATCTAGATCCGTTCCAGTCTGGTTTCAGGTCTGGGCACAGCACAGAAACGGCATTGGTCGCGTTGGTTGATGATCTCTGGAGGGCTCGGGACAGGGGTTGTTCCTCTGTTCTGGTCCTGTTAGACCTCTCAGCGGCTTTTGATACCATCGACCATGGTATCATGCTGCACCGGCTGGAAGAGTTGGGGGTGGGAGGCACCGTGTTGCGGTGGTTCTCCTCCTTTCTCTCCGACCGGTCGCAGTTTGTGTTGGCAGGGGGGCAGAGGTCGACCTCGAGGCCTCTCATTTGTGGAGTGCCGCAGGGATCGGTCCTCTCGCCCCTTCTGTTCAACATTTATGTGAAGCCGCTGGGTGAGATCATCCGTGGCTTTGGGGTGAGATACCACCAGTACGCTGATGACACCCAGCTGTACATCTCCACCCCAGGCCACCCCAACGATGCCCTTGAAGTGATGTCCCAGTGCCTGGAGGCTGTACGGGTCTGGATGGGGAGGAACAGGCTCAAGCTCAACCCTTCCAAGACTGAGTGGCTGTGGCTCCCGGCATCCCGATATAGTCAGTTGACTCCATCACTGACTATTGGGGGCGAGTCATTGGCCCCCACAGAGAGGGCTCGCAATCTGGGAGTCCTTCTGGATATGCAGCTGTCCTTGGAGGAACATCTGACGGCTGTAACCAGGTGGACCTTTTGTCAGGTTCGCCTGATTCGCCAGTTGTGGCCAGTTGCACCCTGAGAGGGCCGCCTCAGGGTGCCATCAGCCAAACAATGTAGGCTGGTGACCCCCAGGGGGAGGGCCTTCTCTGTGGGGGCACCTACCCTCTGGAATCAGTTGCCCCCAGAGATAAGGAGAATCCAAGACCTCAGTGCCTTCCGCCGTGCCCTTAAAACCCATTTTTTCCAGAAAGCCGGGCTGGCTTAAGAAGAAATTTTTAAATGTTTTAATTGGTTTATGATTTTTAATTTTTGGGCCAAATTTATATATATATTAATTGTTTTTTTAATATTTGTATTTCATGTTCTTAATTCTGGCTGTACACCGCCCTGAGTCCTCAGGGAGAAGGGCGGTATATAAATTGGAAATAAAATAAAATAAAAAATAAAATAAAGATTCAGGTTTTCCCAGATGTGCCAATATCTCTAATAAAATGTAACTTTGAGGAAATTTTAGCCTCGGAGTCTTCTTTCGTTGGGGGTGTTACTTGGAATCCTGACATTAAGTTTGTTAAAATCAGCTCTTTTAAAGTCTAAGACACTGGTTTGCTTATGTTCTATTATTTGTGTTGCATTATATTGAACTAGCTGAATACCCATGCTCCGCTACAAAACTATGTGATTGGGCTTGATAAATTGACACAGCTTGAAAATTAATGAGTAGTTACGATAGGCCTCTCCTCTCCCCTTCTCTCCCTCAGCCTTGCCCCACAGAAGCCTCCCCTATCCTATTCCCTTCTCTCCCTCAGCCTTGCCTCATAGAAGCCTCCCCTATCCTATCCCGTTTGCTGTTGTGAAAGTAAAACTGAAACTTCTCTCCTCTGCTTGTGTTTTGCATTTAGAACAGATTTCTTTTCTGGCCGGGAGGAGGAGTAGAACTCTTTAGCATCAGAAGGCTGTTTGGAAAGTGAAACGGTATTTGCTATGTGAGCAAGAAGGAGACAGGAAGGAGCATTAGCTCAACTGTTGTGTAGTAAAGCTGCTACCTACTGTGAAAGTAAAACTGAAACTGAAACCCCTCTCCTTTGCTTGTGTTTTGCATTTGGAACAGATTTCTTTTCAAGTGGGGAAGGGGGGTAGAACACCTTAGCATCCGAGCGTGTTAATAATATAGGAAACACTAATGCTCTGATGGTCATTTCGAAAAATCCTTTCTTAGTGAGCACCTAGAAGCCAAGAGGAACATATGTGGCAAATTTCAAGTTTGTAGGCTTTACAGTTCTAGTGATTTTGTGATGATGCGAACCAAAGTTTTGGCAACTTCAACTCCCTCTATTATTTTTTCACTGTTAAATAAGAATTAGGACTAGAATAGCAAGCCCTCTATTTTTTGGATGACAAAGTTGTCAGTTAAGTTGGTCGGGAATCTTAAGGTTCTTTCATGGACAATGCACCTAGTTATGCATCAATAGGTTTTCTTGATTGCAAAAGTTCTTCTGTATCGCTTCCTATCCGATTTCCAGGCTGATTGTGGAGCCAAGATTTTGGTGGAGTCAAGACTTCAGAATATTGATAATAGAGAGGAAGTGTAATATTCAGGGGTATAATTAGTATCTTCAGTTCCGATGAAATTCAGATTTTTAAGAAAGATGGGAGACCACAGCTGTGCTTTTTTATATATGTGACATATATAAAAAAGACTGATGCTTCAACTACTTCAATCACTTAGTTGTGATTGCCATTTTAACTTTAATAAGTATACCCTTATTCATATGGTAACAGTAGCCAGAAATCCTTCATTATCAGTTGGGAAATTCACTGGATTTGAGACAAATACAGCAGTGACTGCAGAAAAAGACAGCCTTAAGTGTCTTTTTACTCAATTTTCATAACATCCCTCCATGCACTACTGGAGAGTCCCAGTGAATCATTTGCCAAGTCTTGTCACAGCTGGCATTACCTTTCTGCTTCTAATCTTGACGCTGACCTAGTTGTGGCTCCTGAATGCATCTCATCTCCATCTGTTTCACCATTGTTTCCTTTCTCCTTGATTTCATCCTGGCCCTTAACGCTTTCTTCAGAGACCGATATGACCTTCTGACGTTTTTTAGATGACTCAGATGTGTTTGTTCCTGCAAATTTTAATGACAGTATCAAAGATCCACTCAAGTTTCAGAAAAAGATAGATTTAAAAAATTTTTTTTTAAAGAAAGAGTATTCCATATAGAATACTCTTACAGGAACTTGTAAATGGAAAATATAATTTTCCATCCCTTTATGTTTTAATTCATATTTGTTTAAATCTCTTTAAACACATTTGTGATAGTTTACTTTTTTCTTTCACAGACAAAATTCAGAGGGAACTCAACCGGAACCCAAGCAGCTGGGCTGTACTAATCCTGACATAAAATTACAGAGATTTGCACATATTTCTATAATATTTACTTTAGCTTCAGCCCAATGATTTTTTCCCCAGGGAATAAAGCTGATCCCTTTACAAGTTAACAGACAACTTAAACAAAATAAAAAGTTAAGAGAAGGAGAGGAGGTTCTCTGTCTACCTGTTTCTTCTGATGAAAGACAAGCCTGTTTCGATTTTCTTCCTCTTAACCGCATAACCACGTTGCTCTTCTCTTTTTCAGTTTCCTAACAATTGGATGTAAAAACAAAACAAAACAACAATCCAGTTCCACTACAACCAAAAGGTCTTATAATCCTGTAAAGATATTTTAGATTTGGATTGGAAAACAGAATGAATTAAAAATTCTTCAACTTACATTGCTTCTATTGTTCAAAAAATCATTGGCTGTAAAAAGAAAAAAATAATTAAGAATATACTTTTATCAAGATGTTAAAATTAGCCAAAAAATGTTACTTAGTCATTTAACTAAAAATGTCTTTCCTTGCATACTGTTCCTCCTAAATTTACTACAATGCACTAAATGCAAATGTATACTGTGGCAGGGATGATAGACAATAGTAAAATGGAATGACTTAATTCTCCTTGAAAATTAGAATTGTATATAATTCTATGAGGCTGGACGTTAACTTTAAGAGCCAGTTATCAAATGAAAAGATTAAATGCTGGTGCCACTGCTGGTAAAGCTCCCTCCATAACAAGATAAAACAAGCTAACCTGACATATGGCTGGACAGGGGTGGGAAGGCTGTCCTCTTGGAAATGTGCGTTCCAGGAAAGGGGGGTAGGTGGGAGTCAATTATATTTCACTAATCTTTTATTGGGTCTTTTTGATTTTATGGAAGTTCAAAGTTTTAATTATTTTATTATTGAATTCTGCACTCTTCTATTTACTACTATACAGTACTAGGAGTTATACATTCTGCTAGTTCAGAAATCGAATCAATTAATTAGGCCAAACTGTGAGATCCCTGGGGTAGTATGGAAGAAAGCTATGCCATTAGGTTCCCTAGCTGTGCCCTGCTGACAGATATCAATTTATTAGGCCAAATGATTTTACCAAGTTTGAGAATGGGACTGCATACACGTTACAACTACCCTGGATCTCTGGACAAGAAAACTTTGTAAATATGACAGCCAAATTGATGGAGTAGCAAGTCTTTATTTAAAAGAAAGAAAGAAAGCCTGTTGCATTTCATCCCATCTATTTTTCATGTTAAGAACAGATGTTTGAATCATTACCTTCTGGTATTATCACTGGTCTACTGCTAGTGCCTGAAGACTGCAGTACCTAATTAAGAACAAAAACAGCAGTATTCTCAGTAGAAAAATAATGCATATTAAATGCATTCAAATGCTCTTTCAAACTTTTCTTTATATTTAAACAAATTCATGATATCCTGTCCTCTCAGAGGTTATTTAAACACTGAAAAGTAGCCCATCTACTACAATTAGTGTAGACCTAAAGTAATATAATATGCAATACTTTTTACAACTGAACCCATGAATAAAGCTGGGTTTTTCAAAGAAACATCTATCCATAGTTGATCATGATCTTATAGTGAGTTTATCAGTATCATAAATACACACACATACACTTTTAAATATGTTTTTGTCATAGCTTACATTTTAGAATATACTGTAAAATATAAACAGAACAGCTCATTGGTCAGAATCTTAAAAGCTACAATCAATGTTGACATTTTTGATAGTTTCATATAGGTAATACTCAAGTTACGAATGTAATGGAGCCTGCCCATTACATTTGTAACTCAAGGATTCATTGCAGTGAATCACATAAAATGAACGTGATCACTCCCTGCTTTTGCCCACGCATTCACTAATTGAATGTGCACAAGTTCAAATGAGGTATCTCAGGGTGGGGAAGGCCATGGGTGGGCAGGGTTCTAGTGATGGAACAGACTACTTGCTTCAGACCACTCAGGGCCTCACCCAAACCACTGAGATACCTCAAGCTCCCTCCCCTGGGCTCCCCACAATTGCTCTCCCCCATCCTGCCATGCCAGGTCACTTACCTGGTGAAGATCTAGCAAGCTGTCTCCTCTCCAGCCTCTCTGCCACGGTTTCTTTGCTTGCTTACAGTCTTGGTGCAAAAAGCATTTGCAAGCTGATGATACATTAGGCCAGCAAAATCATGTTGCTTTCTAGCCTCCCATCGGCTTGCAAACTCTTTTTGCGCCAAGATGGGAAGCTTCTTGGCGCCGTGATCTCGCACTACTTTAGGCCTCTGTTCTCCGCGAATGCACTGAAATAGGCAAAGGAACTGACAGCTCGCTAGATCGCTGCAAGGTAAGTGAATCTCCACAGGCCCAGTGACTGTGGAGACCCAGCCCGGGATGGGGGGAATAGGCAGGGTGAATGTTGCAGTGCCTCTGCAATCGTTCATGAGTGTGAACGACTACTGTAACATTCATAACTTCGGGACTATGTTGTAAATTGTTGTAAATACTTGGGAGGGTGTTATGTCGTAACATCGAATGGTTGCTACATGAACTGTCGTAACTTGAGCATTACCTGTATATGAAACAAAATGCAGTACAGTAAAGCGTAGAGACAAAGATTAAGTGGCAGGAAGCTGGCAAATTACACTGCATAGCCATGGTGGCACAGTTAGAATGCAGTACTGCAGGATTAACTCACTGCTCACTCCAGGAGTTCGATTCTGAGCAGCTCAAGGTTGACTCAGCCTTCCATCCTTCCAAAGTCAGTAAAATCCAGATTGTTGGGGGCAATATGCTGACTCTGTAAACCGCTTAGAGAGGACTGTAAAGCACTGTGAAGTCTAAGTGCTATTGCAATAGGGATAATCCAGTGGTGGGATTCAAATAATTCAGGGGTGTCAAACTCAAAGCCTGCAGGTCGGATCTAGCCCATGGGGTGCTTAGATATGGCCCGAGGGACGCCCTGGAAACAGTGAAGGAGCGGCCCACAGTGCCTCTGCCAGTGAAAACTGAGTTCCATTTTTGCTGGCAGAGGGTTGCAGGAAGCCGTCCCAGCAAAAAACAGAGTTTGGGAGCCCATTTTCTCTGGCAGAGCGCTCGGGCACCACAGGTGCTGACTTCTGTGATGTAAAGGTGGCTATGCCCACCCTCGCCATACCCCCCAGGTCAAACACAACTCTGATGCGGCCCTCAATGAAATTGAGTTTGACACCCTGAAATAATTTAAAAACCGGTTCTCTGCCCTAATGACCATTTTAAGTATAAAAAAATGATATACCAAAAGGGTTAGGCCCTGAAGGTCTGCGAGGTGGCTTGAATGTGAAGAGAACCAGGGACGGAGGCAAGCAGAGGCTGCTCTTTTCTATCCCTGCCCTGGATCAGGGAATCTGGTGGGTGGGGGTGGGGACTGGCTGGAGCCTCAACCATCAGCTTCTCTCTCTCTCACCCTCACCCTGAAGCAGCCTCTGGAGGTGGCCTGCACTGCTCTGCAGGCTTTGCCAGCTTTTTCTTCCTCTGCGGAAGAGCAGGAAAGAAGGCTGGGTATCCTGAGACGTCCCACTCTGGGAGGTGACTCAGATTTCACTTGGTGGGGGAGGAAGGCTTTGGAAACTGCCTTTTCATTTACATTCATCATCAATATTGTAATCCGTTCCTTTATTTTTCAAAGAAATGACTTGTATTTACCACAATTAGCCTCCTTGAACACCAATGGGAAGACACGGCATGAATTCTGTGCATGAGCCGTGGAAATACAGACACTCACTACCTCAAAGCTCATAATGCTTCCTCGCTTGTGGGATACCACTGCTTTACTGGTGTGTTCAACTTTGTGGCTCAGCTAAAGGCTTCAGCTGCAGTGGGCTGCAGTTCCCATCACCTTCAGGAAGCCTGGGCGATGGAAACCTTAGGCCAGGCTCCTTGCAGCTGAACCAATCAGTCTCACCCAGGGTCAGGTTGGCCGTCATGGGAGGCGTGACCCCTCCCTGTCCTCCAGATCCACCGCACGTGGGATGAGCCTCCTGTGATGGCCAACCTGATCCTGGGCGAGCAGGATTGCTTCAGCTGCGAGAGGCCTGGCTTAAGATTTCCATTGCCTAGGCTTCCTGAAGGTGATGGGAACTGCAGCTCCTGCCATTCTGAGAAAGTCTCATTGATTCCTTACAAACAGCGTTGCCTGCAATTCTTGTTACAGGGAGAGGCTTGCTTTGCTTCTAAACACTCCCTTCCCACAACCTTCCAGGGCTTGATTCTGCAAAGGCAATTTGCTCTGGAAGGGAAGTGGGGAAGAAGCTTCTGTCGGGAGAGGTCCTGCCCAACAGTCAAAACTTCAAGCAGAAGGATTGACTGCAAAGTGCTCGTGTGGATCCCTGCAGCTCCTGGAAGTTTTGACTGCTGTTTTTGGCACCGCTCGGCTGGTCTGGTGGACGGGATTGCGCCTTACCTGCAGCTGCATTGGCAGTTGGCGCTGCCCTCCTGAGAGGTGGCACAGTAATTGGTTGGCAGCCACGCCACGAATGGTGATTGACTATCTCCCAAACCCCCCTGCTGTCAAAGTGGATCCTGGGACCTGCCCTGCTATGGAGAAATGGAGTGGCTGCTGCGAGGGAAGGAGGAGGCCATTTTCCATCTTTCTTCTGCCTGCTCCTCCTCCTCCCCTTGTGGCGGCCACTCCCTTTCCCATTCCTCATTGCAGCACCGTGCTGCAAAGCTTGCCCCACCCACCACCACCCAGATGCTCACACTTCCCTCAAGCATTTCTTTGCTGACCTGATTTTCAGCTCTGTCATGTTTCGCGCTGTTGTATGCAGGGAAACAAAAGTTTGTGAGACAAAGAAAAAAGTTCAATCAATCAATTCCAACTTTGCGAGATTTTTTTTTTCCGTGAGAAGTTGGAATTGATTGATTGAACTTTTTTTTTTAGTCCCATAAACTTTTGTTTCCCTGCACATGACAGGGAGAAGCGCGACGGAACTGAAATCAAGTTAGCAAAGAAATGCTTGGGGGAAGCGAGGGCATCTGGGCGGCAGGGACTGAAATGGGCCCATTTCTCTCCAGCAGCTGGCCAGGCCCGCCAGAGGGAAGGCCGGCATCTATCGGCACTTAAATGCGCCAACATTCCAACTCTGGCTGGAAAGGGCAGCCAGCATGGGAGCTGCAGGCAGGATGCCCATTCGCTTCAGCATACTTCCCAACCCTCTGGCACTCCACTGGCACTTTGGCCCTAGGTTGCCGCCTTATACGCAGGCCCTGCCCCGCCCCCTGCTGTAAAGTAAGACATCACCTGAAAATAAGACCTAATGGGGTCTTTTCAAAAGACCCAGTCTTATTTTTGGGGAAACACGGTAGTTTTTGCCTGAGTCATGTGATCGAAGGCATCGCATTTCCGTTTGGTTTCCGTCACTCCTCTCTTGGACTTTTGGGGATGGTTCCCCCCCCCAGACTAAAGTTGAATGAAAACCAGACGTGTTCCGGAAAACACAGATGTATCATAACCAGTTTGCCGAACTCAACCAAAAATTAGGTATTGGTTCTGCTGAACCAGTGCAAACTGGCTGAATCCCACCACTAATCTTATCCTATATTCTAAGGTAGATTTCTTGAAGCAGAAATACAAAAATTGCTCACAAGAAGGGGGAAGAAGGGAGCAATGCAGAAGAGCCAGGAGAGGAAGAAGAAGGGAATGAGAGGGCAGCGTGCAGAACAGGGAGCAAATGGAAGACCATCTCTTGATAAGAATCAAGGAGCAGGTTTTTGAAACTTGCTATACAGATGTAATTGATATAAATTATGTATAACCTGAATTGTAACTATTCAAATGGGAAAAATCCTTACAAAGCCCTTGATTTCAGTTTGTTCTTTTTATGATGTTCATTATTTAATGGCATACATATGTGAATTGATTTCAGAGCACTAAGTAGAGATTAGCGGGGGATTATGGGAGCGATGGGACGCTCCCACGTGACACTTCTCCTGCGCGAGCTGCATTGGCTTCCGGTGGACTTCCGGGTGCGCTTCAAGGTGTTGGTGACCACCTTTAAAGCGCTCCATGGCTTAGGGCCGGGGTACTTACGGGACTGCCTTCTGCCACCAATTGCCTCCCACCGGCCGGTTCGCTCCCACAGAGCGGGCCTCCTCAGGGTGCCGTCAGCCAGACAATGTTGGCTGGCGACCCCCAGGGGGAGAGCCTTCTCTGTGGTGGCACCTACCCTCTGGAACGATCTACCCCCAGAGATACGAGTGATCCCAGACCTCCGGACTTTTCATCGGGCCCTAAAAACTTACTTTTTTCAGTTAGCCGGGCTGGCCTGATTCCATGTTGGTTTTAACGTTTGATACTGATTTTTAATTGAAATATTTTAAATTATGGGCCAAATTTCATTTAATTATTTCTAAAAATTATTTTAACTTTTGTGTACAAATGTTTTTATTTTGGCTGTTCACCGCCCTGAGTCCGAAAGGAGAAGGGCGGTATACAAATCTAATAAAAGAAAGAAAGAAAAGAAAGGAAGAACTTCCATAGTAATTCTGACAAAGCTTTTTAGTGGACTCAGTTCATATTTCAGTTATTAATTACAGTAGTAATAAGTAGTGCAAAAAAGATACAGCTCATAATACCTTCATTAAGTTTAGCAGCTTTTGTTTGTACTATAATTAAAATATTAAAAAAATCATCTGCATGAAAATAGTTAAAAATTATGTATGTTATTTCAGGATAAGTATGAATGATATGCTAGTGCAAAAATAAGAGTTGTCCAAAACATTTCTATTTAAGCAGTTCAGAGTTAAGAGTGTAAAACTGCTACTTCAAAAATCAAACAGGCTGTTCTGAGCACTCTTAAAATCTTTTCTAAATTTAAAATGGCTGTTTTGATCTTGAATTATTTCTCAAAACATCCTATTTCACACAGAATAAAGTATCCACACTTTTGCATAAAGATTCAAAAGAAAGTATGTTTCACACTCCTAAAACAGAAACAGAATAACAGAGTTGGAAGGGACCTTCGAGGTCTTTTAGTCCCATGATGGTGAACCTATGGCACACGTGCCAAAAGTGATACACAGAGCCATCTCTCCAGGCACGCAAGCCATAGCCTGCTGCTCTTCTGTGTTCTGGCGCACTGGCCAGCTGGTCTTTGCGTGCGCATGCACGCCAGAAACCAGAAGACTAGGTGGCCAGTGCACATGGGAAACCAGAAGAGCTGCTCTTCCAGTTTCTGGCACCTGCACCCGCGCTCCCGTTTCAGCAGTCGGTGCTGAAAAGGTTCTCCAACACTGTTCTAAGTCCAACCCCCTGCTTAGGCAGGAAACTCTACACCACTTCAGACAAATGGTTATCCAATATCTTCTTAAAAACCTCCAGTGTTGGAGCATTCACAACTTCTGGAGGCAAGTTGTTCCACTGATTAATTGTTCTAATTGTCAGGAAATTTCTCCTTAGTTCTAGGTTGCTTCTCTTGATTAGTTTCCACTCATTGCTTCTTGTCCTGCCCTCGGATGCTCTGGAGAATAACTGGACTTCCTCTTCTTTGTGGCAGCCCCTGAGATATTGGAACACTGCTATCATGTCACCCCAAGTCCTTTTCATTTAACTAGACATACCCAGTTCCTGCAGCCGTTCTCCATATGTTTAGCCTCCAATCCCCTAATCACCTTTGTTGCTCTTCTCTGCACACTTTTTAGAGTTTTCACATCTTTTTTACATTGTGGCAACCAAAACTGGATGCAATATTCCAAGTGTGGCCTTACCAAGGCATTATAAAATGGTATTAACAGTTCATGTGATCTTGATTCTGTCCCTCTGTTTATGCAGCCTAGAACTGTATTGGCTTTTTTGGCATCTGCTGCACACTGCTGGCTCATATTTAAATGGTTGTCCACTAGGACTCCAAGATCCCTCTCACAGTTACTACTATTGAGCGAGGTACCACATATACCTGTGCATTTTGTTTTTGTTGCGTAAATGTAGAACCTCTATTTTTTCACCATTGAATTTCATTTTGTTAGATAGCACAAATGTTCCATTTGTGGGTTTCACCCCACCAAGTTTCCGTAATGGCAACAATGTCATATCCGCCCTCATTTACTTGAATTTCAAATTTCCCTGTTTATTCCTCATACTCTGTGCATTGGCGTATAGACATTTGAGTAAAAAAGCAGTGCATTCTTTTATTTATCTATAAATTGTTTATCTACTTAAAGGCCTACATAGCATAGGGCCTGGTTACTTGAGGGAACACCTGTCTCCTATAGCAACTGTTCAGCCAGTTGTACCAGGCAGGATTGGTACACTGCAGGTTCCTTCAATTAAACACTATCATTAACTAACATAAACATAACATTAAATCAGAATCTGGAAGCACACCTTCTGGGTAGTAGTGCCTGCCCTCTGCAACAAGGTTCCTCCTACGATCCACATGCCCCCCCCTTCCCCCACTTTGCTGTTTGAAGATTTGGCTCTTTACCCAGGTCTTTGGCAAGGCTTCAGACCTGGTCACCTATGGGACAACTTTCTCCTGTATTCACCTGCCCATCTCATCTGATTGAACAGGAATATTTCCCTCCAGGACCATCTTTCTGAGAATAATGTCTGATGGGATTAAGACATAGGCATTTTCAATCACTATCCCCAAGTTTTGGAATTCCTACTTTATGGAGATTTGATTTACTTCTTCCCTGCTGGGTTTCAGGATTACAAGTTGGTTCTGGCTTTTCCATCTAGCCCAGGAGAAAAGCATGCTTTGAATGCTGAGATGCATTAGTTGGCACATCTTTTTTTAAATAGCAACAGCAGTTAGACTCATATACTGGTTCATAGTGCTTTAAAGGCCTCTCTAAGCAGTTTATAGAGTCAGCATATTGCCCCCAACAATTTGGGTCCTCATTTTATGGACCTTGGAAGGATGGAAGGCTGAGTCAACCTTGAGCCGGTCAGGATTGAACAGCTGGCAGTTGGCAGAGTTAGCCTGCAATGTTGCATTCTAACCACTGCACCACCATGGCTAATAGTTACTGTTTGGGGTTGGGTTCATTTTTTATTGATGATTGTTTTTAATGTTGTTTTTGATTGTTACCGTAGATATTTTATAACCTTGAAAAATGTGTAGCATATAAATATAATAAATAAATGGTGAAGGCCACTGTACAAGAGAAAACAAATTAAGTTTTGGGGTTGAAAGAATCATGTTTAAAAGAATCATATTTTTAAAAAAATTATATAGCCACCCACTTAATATATCATAGCCTGAGACAGCTTACAAACAGGAATGATAAGAAGCATAAAAAAACAGCACAAAAACTTCCAGTGTTTCCAAAAACAATACTCCGCTCACTTTGAAAAAACAATTTTCTTGGGTTCCAGCTACACACTACCACATGACATCTGGAAAAAGTAAGTTTTTCAAGGTTTTCAGAAGGTCAGGAGGGTCAGGACCTTCTCAGAGAAAGGGTGTTCTAAAAGTGGGGCCAGTACTGATATTATACTGAGTGCAATTGTCTTCTTGATCCTGCCAATGTTTGTTTTACCAAACAAATATACAAATAAATTCCATAGAAAGACAATACTCCCTCAATCTCTGCATGCAGACGAAACACCCCACCAAATGCTTACATTTCTCATGACTGTGTCCAATGCTGAATCCTGACCTGGAATGAAAGAATAAAATTCCTGAATTCAGTGAAACACTGATGTCTATTTTTTAGAAAGGGATGTTATCACACTTACTCTGCACTGCTGCTATTTCAACAGGATATTTGCGAGGTCTTCCTCTTTTTCGTTTAACTATGACTTGCTGCTGTACCAAACAAGCCAAAGGATTATTATTTGTTAAAAAAAAGATATTCTCTAAAACAAATATAGGAAGGAAAAAAGTTTGAGAATCATTAAAGAAAATAACTAACTAACGGAGTTACTGTGATCTAAGCTTTTTTTTGCAGGTTAGCATCAATGAAAAGTGGTTGTTAGTCTCTAGGGTGTGCAAAATATTTCATTAATTTTCAAAAAAATGACTTGTTCCGAGTAAGAAATTGAAGTCTTTATCTTGTAACCTGAGCATTTTGGCTTCAGTTAGAAATGTTCCAAATTTAAAACATTCTGTTTAGAGTTTGACATGCTTCACAACTACAGGTAGTCCTCAACTTATGGCCGGTTGCTTAGCAGCTGTTCAAAATTAACTCCCCCCCAAAACTACTTATGATTCAGTTTCAAAGTTTCAAAAAAAAAAAAAAAGTTATGGACGCTGCAGCACCCCTGAAGTCATTTGCCCTTAGAACCAACCATAGGGATGCTGCAGTACCTACCCACTAACCTAACCTGCCCCACCGGGTGCCTGTAGCCATTGATCCACTCAGGGGAGATCAAACCAACTATAGCACAGGCAAATTGGCTGAAGCATGCAAGTTTCCTAGCTTCCTTCCCACCACAAAAGCAAGGGGAGATCAGGTCATTTAGAGTTTGGAAGCCTCCAGTTGCCTTCCAACCTAGGGACTTGCAGGTCTTGGCCTGCTCCAGGTTCCAGCAGCACCCAATTTTCTTTTCTTTTCTTTTCTTTTTGCAGTTTCTGAGACACAGGATCAGCTTTCTTACTGAGCCAGCCTTGTGGCAAAGCAGTTGTTATTCCCGTGAACCTGTAGATGGCAGCCTTTTAAATGGAGCCCTCTACAGTATTGCAAGAATAGCAGATGTTGCAGAATAACATGAATTTGCCATGAGGCTGTCTTGCAAACACCAGCTGGTCTGCTGTCTTCTAGGTCGCTGGGTGGAAAGGAAGCTGAAGGACTGCAAGGGGTGAGAAACAGAGCACAGGGTGCTTCAGGTGGTGGGAAAATTTCAGGGCAGGCAAGCCTGGGCCTGCGTTAGACCTCCTAGGGTCTCTCCCTCCCCAAGGCACCTTGTGCTCCATTTAACATTCCGTAAGTTCATTTAATAGCTGCATCAGAGAGAGAAAGGGCTGGGGATTGTTGTAAGGCCATTTTTCTTAATGGCTGTCTCTGCCTGCGACCGTAGTAGGCAGTCTCCATTACGATTGTAACTTGAGGACTACCTGAACACAAAAAGGTTCATTTTTTTTACAATACAAGGAAGTTTTTTTCTTTCTTTCCTTCATTCAGATTACATTAGGAACTAAATAGTTTTAGGATTTTGATCCATGAGTCATTGGCAATGTAGCTATTATCTTGATTACCTAGAAAAGCATTAGTGAATTTGTTTGTTAGTTTGGTTTTTTGTCTTTTATATTGTTACAATTGGACAAAACATGATCATCTGAAGCACATACAAACAACTTTCAAATGAGTGGCTGATACTGACCAGACTGCTTCTCTCAACAGGATTCAAACTGGATTCCAGACCTAAAGTGTTAGAAATAACCATTCTGCCAATAATTTTATCTGCAGGAAAGAAATTCAAGAAACTCAACTTATATGAAATGCTTATATAATTATTTTTAGCAACGGCATAATCTGTTGACTTCCTCTGAATGGCATAAGTCTGGCTTCTATTTGCTGCACACCCCATCATTTTTACTTCTATGACAACCTTAATAAACTTCAGATAATTACTTGCCTTATATTTTGTTGTATCATGGATCTAAAATTCACATTTATATGGCTATTTATTATACTAAAAATTAATCAGGAACTAACTGTCCAAAAAAATAGAAATAAGCATATTGCTTCTACAGGACAGAAATGTCAAATAATAGAAAACCACCTGTCTACTTCGTCTTGTTCAACAGAATATTCCCAACATGGAATGGTTTATCTCATGAATGAAGGCAAATATCCATGTCCCAGGATAATGATGTGAGATCAAATTTAGGTTGGTCAACGGGACCAGAGATTTACTCTTCCGAGCTTTCGGACTCATGATGGAGCCCATCTTCAGGGAACTTCTCTCTAATAGAATACATGCTTTGGGCTGTTCTGTGAGTCGTGTTTATGTGGGGCCTTCTTATTGGCTGATTGATATATTGATGGCTGGCCACTGGCTGTCGTTTCCTTGTGCTGCCAAACCGTCAGCTCCTAAGTATTTGATAAGCTAGTGGTAAATCAGCACTCCTATTAACTGACAAGGGACCCATTTCCTAGGCTTCAATCATTTAGCTTGGAAAAGTAAATCTCTGATCCCAGTGACCACCAACCCAAATTTGATCTTGCAACTAATTTATCTATTTGAAAAGGAGTAGGAAACAGCTCCTACATCCTAGGAGACAAATAACATCCTAAGTAGCAAATAGGTAAAGCTAATACCACATACATACCGTTTCCCCCAAAATAAGACATCCCCTGATAATAAGCCCAATCGGGCTTTTGAGCGCATGGCAATAAAGCCAAGCACTTATTTCAGGGTTCAAAAAAATATAAGACAGGGTCTTATTTTCGGGAAAACATGGTAGCAATGTCATCACAAAATGCTAAGACTATACTTGTGTCCCATCATCTGATACAAATCATCATACCCATTTTATCCCTTGCCCTTCTGCAGACACCTCTGAGTAACAGCTAAATGTTTATGTTAATCCTTTCCATGTCACTTCTGAATAATTTTTTAAGCAGTGTCTTTAGATTCCATGTCCAGGTAACTAAGTAGGGAGTATAAGGAAAAATAATATTCAAGGAAACTATTATAATATAAATATAAATATTGCAATTCTACTGCTACGATTGTACAGCCAACTGCTGGAAGAAAAGGATCACTGTACACCTTTTGAATAACTTGTCTGAGAGGCTTTTCAAGCTGAAGTTTCAAATTTTCTGGAATGGCAATAGCACTTAGAATCCATGCATATACCGCTTCACAATGTTTTACAGCACTCTGTAAACGATTTACAGAGTCAGCATATTGCCCCCAACAATCTAGGTCCCCATTTTACCGACCTTGGAAGGATGGAAGGCTGAGTCAAACTTGAGCCGGTCAGGATCAGGATCAAAGGAATCAAACTCCTGGCAATGTGAGCAAAATTAGCCTGCAATACTGCATTCTAACCACTGCGCCACCATGCCTCTTTGGAATAACTAGGCCAGTGATGGCGAACCTTTTTCTCGTTGCGTGCTGGTGTGTGTGCGCGCGATAACACCCGTGCGTGCCAGCACCCATAATGCAATGCGACCCCCACGCATGTGCATGCACACGTGACACCCCACGCATGAACCCATTGCGCACACTCCCTCATGCATACGTTCTGCATTGCGCATGCGCAGTCCCCCACATGCGCTTCGTGGCCCCTCTACTGTGACTTTTTTGGGCTTTCGGGAGCAGGGATTGAAGCCCCCACTTGCTGCTTCTGGCAGTGCAAGAACCGGCTCTGCTGGGTACAAGGGGGTGGGGGAAAGATCTGCTTTCGGGGCTTCCCTTCTCCCCAGCCGAGCAGACTGTCCAGGGGCAGGGATTGAAGCCCCCACTTGCTGCTTCTGGCAGCACAATGACCGGCTCCGCTGGGTAAAAAGGGGGTGGGGGAAGGATCTGCTTTCGGGGCTTCCCTTCTCCCCAGCTGAGCAGACTGTCCAGAGGCAGGGATTGAAGCCCCTACTTGCTGCTTCTGGCAGCGCAAGAACCAGCTCTGCTGGGTACAAGGGGGTGGGGGAAAGATCTGCTTTCGGGGCTTCCCTTCTCCCCACCTGAGCAGACTGTCCAGGGGCAGGGATTGAAGCCCCCACTTGCTGCTTCTGGCAGCACAATGACTGGCTCCGCTGGGTACAAGGGAGTGGGGGGAAGAATCTGCTTTCGGGGCTTTCCTTCTCCCCACCTGAGCAGACTGTCCAGGGGCAGGGATTGAAGCCCCCACTTGCTGCTTCTGCAGCACAATGACCGGCTCCGCTGGGTACAAGGGGGTGGGGGAAGGATCTGCTTTTGGGGCTTCCCTGTCTCCCCAGCCGAGCTCCAGACCTGTCCAGGCTGTCCAGGGGCAGGAAAAAGCTGCTGCCGGCTCCAGACCTGGCAGCCCACAGGATCAGCCCGAGCTTTACAAGCCGCTGTGGCACAACAAGAATCGGCTGGCCCAAACAGCCCTGCCTCGGAATAACGAAGACAATGCCATCCCCACCCCCCTTTCCACCTCCTCCAGAAAAGGGCTAAGCAGGTCGCTCCCACCGCCATCCCCCCCATTCTTCATTCGTTGCGATGTGAAGGGGGAAAAAACCCACAGGAAGTCCTGCTCCTGGTGCTGCCAGGGAAGAGGCAATGCAAGAACCGCTGTTGCCGGGGATGAGGGGGTGCCAGCGCCAGAAGCAGCGGGCTGGGGCTTCAATCCCTTTCCCTGGACAGCCTTCTCAGGTGCGGAGACAGGGAAGCCCCAGACCACAGATCCTTCCCACCACACCCTTGCACCCGGCGGCGGTGGTCCTTGCGCTCCCCCTCCCCAGCGGTGGCAGGAGCAGCTGGCGGGGGAGAGAGGATGGTGGCAGGCTGCAGCAGCAGGCTGGTCGCACTGGCTACAAGGCAGCAGCGGCTCCTCCTCCTGCCACCCTCGCGCTCCAGGCAGCATCCAGGCAGCCATATCTGTCCTCCCCCTGCGCCAGCCCACGTGGATTCCAGGCAGCGCAGCTGCAGGGCCTTTCCTCACAGTGCTGGTGATAAGGCAAGCAGGCAGCCGGGCATAGAGGAGTGACTGGTGGCAGTGCTCCTCGCTGGCAAGGGGTGGATATCCCAGGGCTGTATCCGGGCAATGATGGCATGGCTGGTGCGCACCCGCACTAAAGGCCAGCTGATTGTCATGCACACATGCGCACCAGTAACCCGCAGACTAGCTGGCTGGTGCGCATGCGTACCCTGGAAACCCGGAAGAGGAATGGGCGACACCACGCGTGCCAGGCAACATGGCTCTGTGTGCCACTTCCGGCCCACGTGCCATAGGTTCGCCAACACAGAACTAGGCATTGCATCACCATTATCAGCTCAAAAATTGAAAGGTATGTAAAGAAATTCTCATTCATTAAATGGGTCATGCAAATAATAGTTACTTGTGGGCTACTGTTTTTTATGGACCACCAAAAGCACCACACTTGGTATCACCTTTTTCTTTTACAGATTCTGAGGAATGTTTCCCAGCCACAGCATGACATTCAGGCATTTCTTCTGAGTTGTTGGCAGTTTTTTCCTAGAGAATTATAAATAAATAACTGCTGATGAAAGAGAATAATCCCCATTTAAGACTGCTAAAACACTGGCAATTTGCTCTCTGCATCACCCTGCATTAACTCATTCTATTTACTCAGAAAGATCTTCAGGACAAGGGATATGACTGGTATCTTCCTGTTTCAATGTCACTTGACATGGGTTATCAAGTTATCTCCTTTTCAAATTTAAGCAATTTTGGCTGCTTTTGGTTACAATAAATGAAGTGTTCTCTCTTTGTCCACTCTCAATTTCAGATTTCTGCATACCATCATCTGGGGCAAGGTACAAAAAAAGATGGCTTTGTAAACCAGTAATTGTAACCACAAGGATATATTAGACCTTGCAAATGAGCACAAGTACAGTTGAAATAGAGTAAGTTGATTCTTCTCTGTTTTTATTTATAAATAATAACTGCCATTCCAAACAGGGATATACAAAAATCCAGAAACGATACTGGGTGTAAAAAGGAAAACTATCTATCATTAGCGATAATTATGTGCCCATAATATGTATTGCTTGCACTGTATTTTAATGAATCACACAGTACCTCATTAATTTCTTCTTTGGCCTCCTCTTCCAAAATCTGGCATTGTGTACCACCACCTGTAAAAATGACATTAATGTTTTCTTGAAATGATTTCCAAAAGTATAGTCAAAAGGATGAAAACTTGTTTGCACCATTATCTTAATCAAGCAAGGCCATGGTTTGAACTCCCCCATTTACCCTCTTCAATAGTAGGACTCCTCATTGCTTCTGGCATGAAACTCTCTTCGTTCTGATCAGGTCTTTCTGGCTGCAACCAAAGGAGAAGAAAAATGAGGACAAGGACTGCCTTCTTGGATTGGCCAGCTGACAACAGCCTTCGAGGTAGACCAGGGAGAAGTCGTAGCAGGGTGAAATAACAGTTCATGTGTTTCAACACATTGCCTTTGAACCAGGAAATTTCATCAAATATTATACCTTTGACAGAGTGATCTTACAGGAATATTTTTTAAAACAACACTGAGCTATCTATCTGAAACTGACTTTCACTTACCCTTTTCAGAAAAGAAGGATTTTTTTAAAAAAAAAACCCTTTTCCAATGAAGACAAAACCCCACAATCATTAAAACAAGCAAACACTCCCTAACCCCAAACCCCAGTGCATACCTCTGATAATTTTTCTTTAAGAATTTGACCTTCTATTGCTTCTGTTATGACCATAGCATGTGTATTTCCAAAGGCTAAAAAACAAAAACAGAAATATAGAAGTATTAATCAGAATCTAATGTTGATGTGACATATTAGTAGAAAACTACTAGTAGTAGAAAATTACTGCCACCCAACTCCATAATCCCCATCTCAGACACACCAACAACAGCTAAGCCTCCTATAACCTACCCCATCCCATTGGGCCCACCACCTCTGGTGATTACAGAGAATGAGATGCAAGGTCTATTTCACAGACAAAAGCCAGGAAAAGCACCAGGCCCAGACAAGATAACTGCTTCTTGCTTAAAAGCTTGTGCTGACCAACTGGCCCCCATCTTCACCTGTATCTTTAATAAATCACTAGAGATATGCTATGTTCCTTCTTGCTTCAAATGCTCTACTATCATCCCAGTGCCGAAGAAACCCTCCATCAACGAACTGAATGACTTCAGACCGGTTGCTCTTACATCTGTAGTTATGAAGAACTTTGAAAGGCTAGTGCTGGCCCACCTGAAAACCATCATGGATCCACTGTTAGACCTCTTGCAATTTGCCTACCGAGCAAATAGATCTACAGATGATGCTGTTAATATGACTGCGCTACATCCTACAACATCTTGAATCTCCAAAGACCTATGCAAAGGTCCTCTTTGTAGACTTCAGCTCAGCATTCAATACCTCACTCCAGATATTCTTCTAACTAAACTAAATCAGCTAACTGTACCTGACCACACTTGTAAATGGATCATAAGCTTCCTAACAGGCAAGAAACAGCAGGTGAAGCTAGGCAAAATCACATCAGATACCTCTGATGGGTTTCACTGTGGTCATAAATCAAGGATATTTGTATATATCCAATTTGTTGGAAAAAATTCTACCTGGATGGGAAAGAAAAATGTTATATTCTCTATTTAATGAGCTCCTTTAATTAAAGTATCCTAAGGTAATAATTACACTTCTCTCCTTTCATCATCATTTGTCTGAAAAGATAACAGAGTGATCATGTTTAAGTGCAGCAGAAGAGATTTTGGGATTAAGAGAGGACTTTAATTTAGCTCCCATATTTTTATTAACCAGATTGCACAAACCCCAAGAAAGCAAAGCAGCAACAAAGAATTGGAAAGGTCAAATTCTGATACTCCCTACTTGTTCACTCCAAGGCAGAAAGAGGCCCAGGAGATAGAAAGGTCAAGGTGAGTCACTGACAGGAAGCTTGCAACTCCCAGTTGTTTAAAATTCCAGTTTACTGGAACTTCCTATTATAAACTTAGAATACAGCTAACGTCTGCTATTCTAATTATTCATTGTGAATGCTCATTTAAAATCATTTTAGTATGCACATGGTTTCTTTTATTATTACTACATAAGATACAAAGGAAATAATCTTTCAGTTTTAAAAATATACCATCAAATACAGAGTTAGATCTTTGTTCATTAAACAGCAACCGGGTGTTTACATTCCTTGCAATTTTGGATTATGAAGCTCTTGGTCTGCTCTGCAGACACATCTTTGACAGAAGACATCGACTGTCTTTTGAACAACTTCCTTTTACTTAGGCTGAATTTTATCAAATGAAGGAGCTTTCTAAAAATGTCTCTAGTAGAAAAAAATAATACAATTGTAACACTTAATGTCATATAGAATAATAGATACATAGATTTCCATCAGTGGTGGGTTGCTACCAGTTTGCCGCAGATTGTGCAAACCGGTAGTGATGGTGGCGGGAGGCTCCACCCACCCACCCAGACATCTCTGCGCATGCGCAGCAGCTTATGCACATGCGCAGCAGCATCTCACGCATGCTCACAAGCGAACCGGTAGTGACGGGGTTTGAAACCCACCACTGATTCCCATGTAAGAAACTTACATGTGAAAATGTATTTTAGCTATTCTTTGTGGAGTACAAGCAACAAGTATCCAGGAATCATTATTTAAACAGAGGGCAAACAGGAGTATGCAGAATTTCTAGAAGAGGATTTTTTAAATGTTTTATTCACTAGAGTTGCTCCTCCTGGTCAGGTGTTCTGAGAATGTATTTTTTCATCAGCAGATTCCATGATCTGAAAAAAGTTTGAAAACTGTGCAGGAAACTATGTCAGGCCCTTTGAGTGAAATGTTGCATTGTTAGTAGAGATCAACGAGAAGGCAACTTTCACTTCTCTATGATCACTCACAAACTGGCATATATTGTAAATAGATTTAAAATCCCTTAGATTACCTTTCACAACTAGAATCACAGAATATGTGAGTTGGAAAAGATTATTGCTCTCAATTAATTCACCTCTTCCTAAGACTTCCGGTGGCACCGCAGGCGCCGAGGACGCTCTTTTCTTGAGCACCAGCCCCGCGATTTCGTAAAGCCGCTAGAACAGCACAAATCAGCTGTCTAGCGGCTTGGAAACTTTCTCCCCGGGAAAAGGGGAGGAAGAGAGCAGACGGGCGTAGGTAGAGCTCCCCAAGGAGCCCCAGGAACAATTCTGGGGCTCGAAAGGTGAGAGCTCCCTGGAAGCCCGACAGAGCTCCGGATCCAGGATGTTTCTGCTTTAAGCAGAAGAAGAGCCGCCACCACCCCTGCAAACAACGCTTGGAATAAACATCATTCGGAAGCAGGCTGAGCAAACTCAGGAGAGATTAGATCTGCAAGTACTGAACTTTAATTCCAAATGTGTATTACTTCCTTCTGATTTATTAAGGGGAGAAAGTGAAACCAAGATGGCGATTGAGCTTTAATGGGGTGTGAAAGCGAAAGTTAAAAAGGAAGTTTCTTTTAGTGTTGGCAGCCCCTGTTCAAAATTAGAGATTTGTGCTTTTAAAAAAAGGAGAAGATCAAAGATTACAGCAGTGTTTTTTAAAAAAAGGAGTGATATTATTTAAAAACTGATTTCTGGATTTGGTGGATTTAATGTTCTGGCAGCTGATTAAATTTAAATTGGAAACTAAAAATGGCTTCAAAACAAATTAAGGCTATTGTCCCCAAAAGTGCTGGGACTTCTCCAGCTCAAACGTCCAGATTGCAATCTCTCTCTGTTCCAACGGAACCAACAATATTAACATTTGAAATGTTGCAGGAAGCCCTCAAAACACAAGCCTCTGTTACAGAAAAAAAAATTGCTTCAATGTTTCAGGAGCAAACTCGAGAGGTTGCTGAAGAGATAGCTCAAGTCAAAGAGACTATTCAAAAATGAAACCAAGTAATTAGAGAAGATATCATGGCAGTACAAGGATTGGCAGGACATATTGAAGCAAGAGATGAAAAAGTGGAAGAAATTAAGCAGTCTAATGAGAACTTGGAAAATAAAATGGGGGAGGTCCAGGACAAGATGGAAAGAGCAGAGGCTGATGTGATAATGATACAATATAGAGACATGGAATTTGCTTTGAGAATAAGAGGCCTCAAGGAAAATAAGCAAGAGAATTTGAGAGAGATCTTCTCAGAAACATTTGCACAGATAATGGGAGATCAAAAAGCAAATTTTGAATGGCAAATTGACAAAATTTATCGTGTCAATTCATGGGTGGCCAGACAGAAACATCTACCAAGAGACATTGTAGTTTATTTTACAACAAGGAGACTATGCAATGAAATCCTACAAGTCACTTTTAAAAATAAACTTCAAGTGCAGGGGCAGGAGGTTTTAACATTGAAAGAAATTCCCCCCAAAATGTTGAGAGCCAGAAAGGATTATGCCTTTCTGGTGGAAGAACTGAGAAACCGTCAGATACAGTATAGATGGGAAGTTCCAGCTGGTCTAGTGGTGAATTATTCAGGAGAAAGATATCGTCTCAATTCAGTGTGGAAGGCAAGAGATTTTTATACCAGTGTATTAAAGGCTGGATGCCCACAGCCCCAGGAAGCTAGAAGGAAGACGGAAATAGAGGGGGCAAAAAAGGGGGAGAAAGAATTGTTGGCACAGGCCCAAAAGGGTGATTTGATTATTCAAGAAGAATTAATACAATTTTCGGCTACTGTTCAAGCTTTGGAGATAGAAGAACCTAAGGATCAAAGACAGACTCGAGCGGCAGCCAAGCGTCAAGAAGAATTAAGAGTGCAGCAACTTCAAATGATTCAAGATACTACAAAAACAGAAGCAGTGGGAGGAGCAAGGCCAAAAAGTAAAATGCATGGAGATTTCCAGCATATGCTCCAAATGCTTCAGGGGGCCAAGAATGGCAACTAGATTTTTGACCTGGAATGTTAATGGCCTAAATTCACCACAAAAGAGGAGAAAAATATTTCATTATTTGAAACAGTTTAAAAATGATGTAATTTGTTTACAAGAGACTCATATTAGAAGTAAAGATCAAAAGTACTTAATAAATGCAAGGTTAGGTATACATTTTGTTGCATCTGCTCCTGAGAAGAAGAATGGTATAGTTATATACCTAAAAAAAGACTTAATTGCCAAATTAATTGAAGCAGATGATCAAGGAAGATTTATAGCAATTGAACTTTTAATAAAAGGAGAAAAAATACTTTTAATTGGAGTCTACGCACCGAACCAACAACAGGAAAAATTTTATAAGCTTTTACATTCCAAGTTACTACAATGGAATTATAAATCATGTATTTTATTGGGTGATTGGAATGGAGTTTTGGACACTAAAAAAGATAAGAAGGGGCTCTTGCAGAACATTTCAACGTGTGCCAGATTGCCAAAATCATTTTTTGAAATGATGGAGGATATGGAGCTGAGAGATATCTGGCGAGAGAGAAACCCTGAAGAAAAAGACTTTACCGCTTCCGGTTGGTGAATCCCAGCGATATGGTGCTGTGACAGCAATCGCTGCTTGCAGCGCCACTTTTTCGTCGTGTTTTGGGGTCCCTTCGAGGCGTGGGAACTTGGAGAGCTCTGCGGACGATAGCGGGGTGTCAGCAGGCAGAGTGGTGAGGAGCAAGCACTCTCTGCTGGACCGACAGCCGCTGTCAAACTAACGTGGCGTGTCTGCCTTAAATGGCAGACTCGAAGCTGTGATAGCCAACAAAAGACAGGAAGCAAGAAGATTTCGGTGAAGTTGGTGCCTATTATCATT